TTATTAAAACTATGGCAGGTGAGGGGATGGGCATTACTTCAAGGAATGTTTCATTTGTTTTAAAAAATGAGATAAGCTTTTAAAAAGGTCTAAATGTTCACTTCTAACAAAACGTGTCGTGTAAAGCTTGAGGTTTCATGGGTGTTAAAACATTGACATGTAAGTGAAACTGGTGCCATTGTTGGATTATACTCATTAACTTTGAGGTTTTGGTCACACCTCATCACCAGGTGAGCTTTAGTTCATCTGTTGTGAAATTTAAAGATGATCTTTGGATTTAAACGGCCCGTTGAGCAGGAACATCCATCCATCTTTACCCGCTTCTTCCATTTTGGGTCACCGGTGCCCATGTCCAGCCATCGCTGTGCGAGAGGCGGGGGACACCCTGGACAGGTCTCCAGTCCATCACAGGGACACATAGAGACAAATGAGACAAACAACCATTCTCTCTCTCACCTAGGGACAATTTAGAGTTAATCAGCCAAACATGCATGTTTTTGGTCTGTGAGAGGAAACCGGAGTACCCGGATAAAACCCACGCAGCACGGAGAGAACATGCAAGCTCCACCCAGAAGGGTCCCCGGACCGGGATTTGATCCAGGGTAACCTTCTCGCTGAGAAGCAGCTGCTCTACCAACTGCGCCACCGTGCTGCCCTGTGCAGGAACAATTTGCATTTGAATGAATAAATAAATCTGAAAGGATACACTGCATATCGTTTAGAGTACAGGGCGTGTTTGCAATGCAGGGCGGCTGTGGCTAAGTGGTTAGAGCAGTCGTCCTCCAATGGGAGAGTTGGGGGTTCGATTCCACCAGCAGTCACATGCTGAAGTGTCCCTGGGCAAGACACTGAACCCCTCATTGATGTGTGTCCCATCAATGTATGAATGTGATAAAGCTCTGATTAATGATCTTTGTATAGAGATCTGTATGAATGTATAAATGAAGACACAGATTGTTGTAAAGAGCTTTGAGTTTCCTGATTAGATAGAAAGGAGCTGGATAAGTGCAGACCATTTGCAAATAATGTGTCAAATGTTTGTCACAGACCCACTAAAATGCTGTGAAACGATGTTTGAAGCGTGTTTGAACATTTCACCATGAACCACCACAACCAGAAAGACAGCCTCTAAAGTAAATTAAATAAAAGTTACAGTTTTAGTGAATCTTACATTTCCTCCTAAATCCAACTCCAAAGAGTAAAACCTGAAACTGATCTTCAGGTTAAGAGTTTTATCAATCAGTTGATCTATTCTGGTGTTTCATGGTGTCACTCATAAATTCACATTTAAGGCAGTCCACCTCCTTTCTTGTGTCGTCGTGATGAGGGCGAGCTCCCCCAGCCTGCGGCCTTGTATCCCAGTCAAATGTGAGTCTGGACCCGGAGGCAGTTATTAGATCTGAGCAGCTAATGGGCCCACGTCCACAAGACAGGATATTCACTTAGGTATTTACTGCCCTGACTGCTCTCTCTCCCTTCAGCTCCATCCGGGATAATCGTCCCTCATCGGGCTCTGCTGTCACGAGACGAACGGACCTGCACAGCATCAGATTTCAGAGACGCTGGACGGGGCGTCCATTTGTCCCCGCACGTCCACATCTGCTTTCAGGAAGGCCTGCAGACAAACCGGTGCGTCTCTTGGGGATGAGATTAAAAACTGATGATTCAGTCTTTGTGCACATGATGCAGAACACAAAGTTCATCTGACAAGAACTTTGTTGGAATTGACTCGTCGCTAAATTAAAAAAACTACTAATTCTGGATTCTGTTGTAATGTTTTATGACATAAATGTGTATAAATATTGTTGATATTCTCCACATTAATTCAAACACCTTTAAGTTTGACATATGGTTTGAATTTAACTTAGTTTATCTTATTTAGAGTGGGAAAAAAATCATATTTTTAATTCTATCAATCCTAGAAACACTAATCAAGAAGATAAAAATTAGAATGTTGATAAAAAAACCACTGGTGTGGTGCTTAAGCCATTAATCCCAGATTTTCTGGATTAAAGATGAGATTTCATCATTTTCTTATTAACTCATACCCAAAAAAGGTCTTAAAAGAACACTTTCAAAAGTAAATAAGTTTATAAAGCACAAATCATGAAATGCATAATTTGAGTAACCATCCTTTTTGAAAGACTGAAGTTCAGATTAATTTCACTGGGCAGAAAAAATAAATTAAAATAATTCTCAGTTGATTAAAGTTGTGACGCATCAGTACTGCACCTTGACGTGCAGCCGTTAAACTTAACTTCATGCTGTGCAGTTCTGTGCCTGTTAAGGTTACAGAAAACACTGCAAACATTTGATCAAGTGCTGCTTTCCAACATGCTTGTGTCTAAAGTAGATCATAAAGAGCTGAAGGTTCAAGGGTTCACAGAGCTCACCACCAGTCAAGGAGAGGAAATGTTCATATTTTAAAAAAGTTAGTAGCCATGATGTCCTGAATCACCTGAAAGTTTAAAAGCTGAAAGCATGCTGAAGTAGTTGGTCCAGTGTTGTACAGAAACTCACCGTCACAAGCAACAAAAAATATTTTGAAGAACAAATAAGCTGGACGTGTTTTTCAGAACATCGTTTGTTTTCAAGTTTGTTGTCCAAGTTCTTCCAGGAGGGACTGAAGTTGTGCTTCAGTTGTGCAAACCATCTCCACTGATACAGACAAATATACAGTATATTCACACACACACACACACACACATATATATATATATATATATATATATATATATATATATTTTTTTTTTTTTTTAATTTAGCCTTTATTTATCCAGGTTAGTCTCATTGAGCCACGAGAACT